ATATTTTTCCTTATAAGTAGATACATTATAAACTAACCAGGTGATAAGAATATGTAAAATCATCAATTGGGGCACATCGTCCCGTTGTAACGCCAATGTTTTACACTCAACATCAATCCTTTTATTACATTTTTTCAGCCAGCAAAAACTTCACAGTGGTAAAGTTATTCCCACCTTCCTCTCAACAAAATGAAGCCGGTAGTGGACTGGTACCGCAGGACGTCAATCAAGGCGTCATGGCGGACCAGAGGTCTGCCTTTCTAGGCAAAAAGGCGGACTCGTTCCGCTTCCATAGGCCTGGGTTCGAGCACGTGCCCGGAAGTGTTTCGTTAGAGTCTGCAACTCATCCGGGACTTTATCTACGGTACAAGAATTACAAGTTTCATTTGGAAAAGATGAAGCCAACAGGAGTGTTTGGTAAGACAGAACAGTAAATGACGATCTGTAATTTCATTCAGCATTATAGATAGCAGCAATTTATTGGAAAGCAGCAAGTTATTGCAAAGTGTTGTGATCTGTCAGAAGCAAACTACAGAGATCTGGGAGAAATCACTCTATTTTGACTCCAATAACTGTTTCGTCTCACACGAAAAGATAAAAAGTTGTTTCTTCTTTTATGAGAACGCCGTTTGTATAAAGGTCAAACCTATATTGGTCTACAGACTCACCCTTGTCGTCTTGAACACGTAGTATCAATGAAATCCTCTTCAAACCAGCTTGGCTTATCTCATACTTAGAATAATTCCAAGTTGATCATCACCCAACCAAGCCACGCTAGGAGTGGGGACGTGCAAAAATTTACGCGCAAACGTTTCGAAGACATCTTGAGCCAGCGCACACAACGAGATAATTAAGGAGGCTCAAAACAGTTTCCAGCACTTATATTTTGATGGGTCGTTACAACTACTCTTTATCACTTGATGCTATAATCATGGTATCAAATAAACTAGTCAATCATTGGTGAACACGTTGTTATCATTTTCGTGACACAATAGGTTACCATAGCAACAGTATGACCTGCTAAAAACACCCTTAATTACCGCTATAGGGGCGTATAATTCAAAAACGGAACGGTGAAATTTTTTTACACTATCAAATTTTGAAAAGCATGACAGGACGGAACTTTTGGCAAAGTTTAAAAACGTTCTGTACATAGGGTTCAGAGCCACCTAAACGTTTCGTGCCGTTTTAATGATTATACTGACCCATCAAAATCTTACTGCTACAAACTTTTTTGAGCCACCTTAAGATCCAGTGAAAAAAGAAAAAAAACCTCCCAGTGGACTTTCAAAGTGGTGCATGTGTTTTATCATGACAACTTGGGTCCCCTAAAACTTTAACTCGATTTGTTTTCAGAGAAAGATGCAACCTTCATCGAGAGAAAGACTCAAACCAAAGGAGCAGCTGCTTATGAGCTGTTTAACCACCCAGGTTGGTTCATGTGCCATGACACAAGCAGTACATTTGGACTTGTTGCTAAGAAACTCGAAATCAAGAGCCAAGAATTCCTGCTGGGATGCTTGTACATGGCAGTCGCTCAAAAATCATCCAAGCCCGATTTAAAGCAAAGATTAAAACTCACGGACATGAAAAACGAAAGTGGCGAGACCAGAGAAAGTGTTCGAAACATCTCTGGCATAATTTTCAACGACGTTTCCGCGGAGAATTTAATGCAAGAACATCCTGGGAATCAAAGCAATAAAACAAACGAGTTAAATCTTTTAAGTAAGACAGATATAACAGCTAAAAAGGACGAGGTGGCGGCTAAACTGTTATCGAATTCCACTGCTGGAAAAAACAACAGCTTTGCGAAAATATCGGAGCCAGAATCGGACAGTACGTTTGCTAACAATTCTACAAACGGAAAGAGTGATTTTAAGTCGACTGACAAATTGCGTGATGCAAATGTCACAGAAAACGTGCACGTCACGAACGTCACGCAAAAACTGAAGATAGATCTGCAGAACAAGACGAGTATGTTAGCTGCACATCAAGGAAAACAGCCTCTAATGAACGACAAGAAAACAATCGAAGATCTTGTCTCGAACAATTTAATAAATAGTTTCAAACTTGCAGGCAGTGCAAATGAGGAAAACCACGTCGCTACACAAGAACAAACAAACCCAAATGTCGAGTCTGCAGAAAAGGGGTCAGCGGTCGCCAAACAAACTGCGCAGGCGTTCGGACAAGGGATCGCCTCTGTGGGAGCAAAAATAAATCCGCAATATAAAGGAGACACTCTCCCATTCCAGAAAAATCAAAAAGGACTCCCCGCACCATTTGCGCCAAAGCAAGCTTCGAATGCGAATTTGAATATGCAACCCAAACAGTTCACTGCACACATTGAGTTTCCAAATAAAAAACATTATCCAAATGGAACGTTGGCTGACGGAAAACTCCCAAGTACATCTTCAAGTCAACTGGCAAAGATAACAGCACAGGCAACTGCGGCGGCATTGGGCTTTATCCAGAATGCTCTCCAAAATCCACGTCCACAAAAGACACTTAAGTATACAAAAGCAGGAGCCAATTTTCCCTTCCAACAACAACAACAACAACGACAACAAAATCACTTTCAGAGGCCCATAGCTTACGTCAATCAACAAATGCGCCCGCAAGCACTTTTTCGTGGTCCTCCAAATTACATATATGCGCCAGCGCCTATTGCTCCAAGGAGACCGCTTGTAAACCCTTTTGCAGTCAAAGGTCCAAATTCCCAGTTTGCCTATCAGCAGTTTAAGACTGCGCCTCCACAACAACTGTTCAGTAAAGGATATAGATACCAATACCCAAGAAAAGGCTGGGGTGGATTGGTATCTGTTGGCAAGCAGAGTTTAGTGGGGAATAGTGCTAACTTTCATTGGAGCGTCCAGAATAAACCAAATGTACTGGACAAAAGTAAAGCTAGACTTGAGGACGGAACGCCTAGCAAGATTTCCGGAGAACACGGTGAGAAAACTATCAGAAAGTTATAAATGTTTTTGTAATATCTTTGAACCTTTCTGACGGTTGTAGTAAAATAGATCAAGTCTTATTTTTCAAAGTACTGAAAAACATGCATCGCCACATGAACGTAGTGCTTAATCGGGCTAAAAACAACTTTGTACAGCGAAATGAACAGTGCTACGTGTAAGGACGGCTTTACAGCTTTGACTTCAATGGTCACACGCTAGACTTAAATCCAGGACATATTACGATTATCAGTCGAGTAAGGCGTGACGAAAGTTTGCTGACCAGGTTTTAACGTTCAGATTGTGTTGTTGTCACGGGCAACCGGCTCCGTTTCCACTGGCAACTTGTCAGTCTTTGACGTTATTGGCAGTAAAACGCGCGAAATTGCAGGCGACGATATTGTTGCCATTGGAAACGAGGAAAGTTGTCCGTCGTCACCAATGCTCCGTCGCGCCTTACTCAACTGCTAATCGTAGTAATAGCTAAAAACCTGCAGCATAAATGAACAGTACCAAAAAGCTTTCTTCTGAATAATAGCAAACTAGTGTTTCATCCATAGATCAATTATAGCAGTTAATCAAGCGCTCGTTGGAATAAGAAAATACCGTTCATGGTAAATCCCCATCAGAAATATTTACAACCAGTTTAAGAGCGAACTTCCAGTAAAAACTGCTGACAATAGCCCAATTTCAATATGTCAAAAATTCAGCCTAAAACAATAGATCTCAGCACGACGCTCCAGGGAATAAACCTCACAAACTCTGTAGTTATTCCCCGGAGCCTCGTGTTGAGGTCTATTGTTTTAGGCTGAATTTTAATATATTGCATGGTATGTTCTCGCTAAAATGAAGCTGAGAATTCGTCTCACGCGCGCGTCACGCGGATGGTCCCGCGCACTAAAGCTGTAGAACACGCAGGCAAGGTTTCCGCGATAACCTTGTAAAGGCGTCGAGTTTTGAATATTATCTGATTTCTCTACAGACAAATGCATCAGCCTGAAGTTCATGAACAAAGTTCGTAAGCCTATCAAGCTGGTGTCAAGTATGAAGCTTGAGGGTTATCTCATCACTGCCGAGACTTTCAAACTCAAGACTGTCTTCAAACACCCGCGAAAACATCATCACGTGATCTTCTACGCGCGTGATGCAGACGATAGAGACAATGAAGTGTTACTTAACAACAATAACGCAATCGCTGTCACGCCGGGAAGATGCGACTTACCGTTTAGGAGCGTGATTATGTCACACCACGGACAAATCAACAGCAAAGGTAACTTGAGACTTGTTTGACTCAGCTTGAGATAAGTAAATCTGACGAACGTTTGACAGAGTGTCAGTAACTAACTCCTCGAGCTGGAAAGCCCCTTTATATAAGCTGTATAGTTTTGTCCCACACCAAATGGCATGCCATTTGAGTTGTTTAGATCTAACACTGGGTCATACATGAAGCCATGTTGGTCTCGAATTTGGTGTCGCTCTTAATGGAGTCACAATAAACGAAATTGTCGCTTAAATCAGGCTCTTCATCTTCAAACAAATATTTAAAATAATTAAAAGTTTCAAGGAGTTTCCCCAAGGAAGCAGCTGTTTTCTCAGCAGCAAGGGGTTAAAAAACTACGTACTTGAGCTTAAAATAAACACTGTTTCCTAGAAATTGAACATATTCGCGAAGACGACGAATACAACGCGTCCATGGAGGCGGCACGCAAGGCCGTGCACGGAAAAGGAGACGAGAACTTCAGGCAGTGGACCGCCTTTGGGCCTTGCTCGGCAACATGTGGCAGGAGCTTACAAACAAGAACACGCTCGTGTAAACCAGGAAAGATCTGCAAAGGGGAGGCCATCGAAAGTAGGACGTGCATACAGACACCGTGCCCTGGTAAGCTGAACATGCAATTTCTCCTTACCATCTT